GAGTCCCCTACAGCTCAACATAACACCATGGCTTTACTTCTTATACTTCATTTTTATACTTTTCTGCTGGATGGTTAAGACCAAGATAAAGCAGGACCTATGCAACAAGAGTTGTAGCTTTTGGGTCTGATAAGGTCAGTCAAATCCCCTCAGGATTTATCCTGGGATCCTGTACCTCAGATTGTAGATCCTTTGTCAGTGTCAGCCATGTGGATGAGTCACGGCCATTGCTTGGCCAATGTGCTCTCTGTGAAAGCCTGAGAGAATGTTTTCTCTCCATGTGACTCTCCTTATGCACACTCTACATCATCAATCACTTTCCTCTTTGGCCCCATAATCTCCTTGATCAGAAAATTTGGGACACTACTGAGTTACATGACATTACAGTACAAGTTCTCATATATCCTGAGTCTTAATTGACCTTGGAAGGCTAGGGCCAAAATGTTGGACATTTTCCTTTTAATAACAAAATTAGCATAGAAAAATGACACCCAATCTCTATAATAATTCAAGCAGTAACATCTGAAGAACTGTGTGGTGGCACACTTCTGTCGTCCCACCTACTCAAGAAGTGGAGGTGGGACAGTCACAAGTTGAAGACCAGCCTGGACAACACAGTGAGACATCAAAAGTGCAAAGAAAAAGTAGCAAAACACTTAAAATGCCAAAGGGTGACTGTGCAGGAATTTATACAAGGGAAAAAAAACACTGATAAAGGAACTTGTGCAAAGGCCCAGACTACAAAGTGACAATGAGCCCAGTGTGCACAGGACACAAGCACCTGCTGGGAGTGGTTATGTCTGTTTTATATGAAAAGCCAGGGTCCAGGGCTGGCACTGAGAGATGCCCTGTAAGGACAGTATGTGCTAAAGAAGAAAGAAACAGGAATGGAGGCTGGGGATTTAGCTGAGTAGCACAGCGCCTGACTGGCAAGCATGAGGTCCTGAGTTCAATTCCCAGAACCCCTTCCCCCCGAAAAAAGAAACAAGTAGCAGGCAGAGGCAGCATGGGGAGAAGCCTCATTGGGGATTAGTGTCATAGTGATAATAAAGCAGCCCCTGTCTAACGAGCTCACATATATTCCAAGTCTTACTTCCTGCATTTTTCACTATTGATCCAATTAATTTTCATAATAGCATTACATAAGAATGCTTACCATCACTTTATTCTTTATTTCAGTAGGAAATGATTACAGGGCCAGGGAGATAGCTCAGTGGTCTAAGCACCTGCCTGGCAAGCACAAGGACTTGGGTTCCATCCTTGGTACCAGATGCTGTGCCAGCCCCCAAACTGAGTGTGGTGGTGTGTGCCTGTAATCCCAGAGCTGGAGAGGCTGAAACAGGAGGATCACTGCAAGTCTGATCTACGTGGTGAGATCCTGTGTCAAATAAATAAATAATTTTAAAAATAATAATAATTACCAAAAAATGCCCAAGCTGGGCATGGTGGCATATACCTATATTAGGTAATGTATTACACAGAAAATAATACAGGGCAATATTTAAATACAAATGGCATAAAAATATAGCTTAGGGGCCAGCCAGATAGTTCAGTGGACTAAAGTGCCTGCTTAGGCAGGCACAGCAACCAGAGTTTGATCCCTGGCTTGCTATACTAGTCCTGTCCCCAGGGCACGCTGAGATAGCAACTGAGACTAGGCATGGTGACACTTGCCTATAATCCCAGCACTTGGGAAGCTGAAAGCAGGAGGAGCACTACAAGAACTGATCTACATAGTGAGACCCTGTAGACCCTGTACTAAATACATTTAAGAAATTTTTTTATAAAATAAATATAGCCTGGGGGCTGGGGAGATAGCTCAGTAGAATAACCGCTTGCCTGGCAAGTGCAAGGGCCTGAGTTCAATCCCCGGTTCTGACAGAAAAATAAAATAAAATAAATATAGCCTGGAGAATATGGAATTTATCTACACAATAAAAACTAAAGGGAAAAAAAAACTAGAGGTATTAATTAGTCAGGCATGGTGGTGTACACCTATTATCTCAGCACTTGGGAGGCTGAAGCAGGAGGATTGATTTGAGTTCGAGGCCAGCCTAGGCTACATAGTATGTTCAAGGCCAGCCTGAATTACATAGTGAGACCTGTGTCAAAAAAATTTTTAAAAATAATAATAAAGGTGTTCACAGCTAGGCACAGTAGTGCACACTTGCGATCTCAGCTATGGGAGAGGTTAAGAGAGGAAGATCATAAATTCCAGGCCAGCCTAAGCTGGAAATCAAGACCTTGTCTCAAAAAACAACAGACAGACAAATAAACAAGAGATGACCTCCCCAGATCTACTAGATGGTAACTGAGAATGTGAACCTCAGAAGACGCTATTAACACAAGGCTTCTGTCTTCCCAAGGAGGGCTTCAGAAAAGTCTTGGGTACTAGCAGCAACATTTCAATAGCATGTGATCCCATACTCCCATCAGAGAACTTGATACATAAATTAGGTCTATTTAAAACCAGTCTTGGGGCTGGAGAGATGGCTCAGTGGTCTAAAGCACCTACTTAGAACAAGCTTAGCAAAAGCATCAGGGACCGCGGTTCAATCCCCCAGCACCACATGCCAGCCAGTCCCGCCCCCTGGTGGGCTGAGCTGGCCACACACACACCACTCTCTCTCTCTCTCTCTCTCTCTCTCTCTCTCTCTCTCTCTCTCAAATAAATAAATAAATAAAATAAAATAAAATAAAACCAGTCTTGCGGCTGGCAAGATAGCTCAGTGGACTAAAAGGCCTGTTTAGGCAAACTCAGGGACTGCAGTTCGATCCCCGTTACCACACACTGCACAGGCTGAACCAGCCAGAGTCCAGGCATGGTGGTGCACGCCTGTGATCCCAGCTCTGGGGAGGCTGAAAGCAGGAGGATCACCAGAAGTCCGAGCTGTGTAGTGAGACCCTGCAACAACCAAATACATTCTTTTCTTTTTTTTTTTTTTTTCGGAACCAGGGATTGAACTCAGGCCCTTGCACTTGCCAGGGAAGCGCTTATTCCACTGAGCCATCTCCCCAGCCCCAACAACCAAATATATTAAAAAAAAAAAAAGTCTTAACACATACATCACCATTAAGCCATAAACTCAAATAAAATGGTTAAAAATGAGCACTATGCAGTTGGACTTAAATCGAACACTCTTTCCTCCCGCTGTTCTGGTGACTCATCCTGGGGCCTTATTTTTGTTTTGTTTTTGTTTTTGGCAGAACTGGGGATTAAACTCAGGCCCTTGCACTTGCCAGGCAAATGCTTATTCTACTGAGCCATCTCCCTGGCCCCTAGCACGTTTTTGGATCTTGTTTTTGTTTTTGTTTTTGTTTTGTTTTGCCTTATTTTGTTTCAATGAATCTTTTGGGCTGGGTTCTGTGCCATGGGGAGGAAAGAAAAGGGAGTGAGCTGGAGGGAACTTAAAACCTGGGGCTGTGCCTGGAGCCTGAGCAGGGCACCCCCTGAGGTGGTGGTTTCCGTCAAGTGCAGGGTAGAAGAGGATGGGATGACTGATCTGACTGCGACAGGCTGATATGATCGTGCTGGGGGAAGTGGTTTGGAAAAAAAAAAAAAGTTTTTTTAAGTACCTGTCAGGATTCTAAAGTTTGGCTCTCTCCATCTGCCCTGGCACTGTCTCCCAAGTTTCTGGTTCACACATTGTCCTTTACTCTTCCAGTGGCTTAAAATGCTGGCCCAAGTCACCAGTCACCCTTGCAAAGGCTCTTATGAAGAGTCCTGGTTCTTACTCAGACCTGATCCAAAGAACTCATGGGCAGAAACCCAGGTTCCAGCCCCCAAACCAGCTACGACAAAGCTGTGTCTCTGTCTGCTAGGACAGGATCTTGGGGCGTAGGACAGGGAAGGCCTGGGATGGCAGAGCCTCCTGGAGAGCTGGCTAGGGACAGTCTGCAGCTCCCTAGGGCCCAGTGAGAGCCTGGGTGATGCACTGCAGCACTGTGGCTCAGGAAGTGGAGGACCCTGGGTGTGCACTGGTAAGAGGTGGGAAAGAGGCTGGGGACGAGGGCACCAATGTCCTTGTCATCCATCTGGGATCAGGGATATCGGAGAGCATCCTCACAACAGTTTTCTTAAAGCAGTACTGGTGACTGAACCTTTGTACTCTAACACAGGGTCTCACTTAGTCACTAAATGGCCCAGGCTGGGCTTGAACTTGCAATCCTTCTGCCTTGGTGTCCCAGAATGCTGGGATTGTAGCCATGTCCTACCACAACCAGCCTCCTGACAGGCTTAGAGGCCCCTTCATGTTGGTCTCTCCCAACATGTAGTGTTTCTGGTGGTTAACAGGACAAGAGGGGAGGAGAGCTTGAAACAAACTTTGAAGCTTGGGACACTTCATGTAGACTCTGGGGAGAAACCACCTGGTGGTACCTCCAAAATGGTGCACCATGTGTGCTTGCAGAATATCCCCACCAACAGGACAGAGCTGCAGCAGGGAGCCCCCACAGACAGCCTGAGGACAGCAGCCGGCTGCTAACCCCACCTCAGCTCTATTTATGGACATTCCCCAGAGCAGCATTTCTCAAGGTGTGAGACACAGACTGGCTCTGCCAACAGCACCTGGAAAGGGTAAATTTTTTTTTTTTTTTTTCTTCAAACCATGGCAGGCAAGAAACAGAAACTGGAAAGTGTAGACTTAAAAATCCTGCCCCCTCTGTATTCTCTGTCACAAAATCACACACAGGTGCTCCTTAGAGCTATTAAAAGAATTTCAACTGTGAAAGCTTATAAATCTCTAAAGGGTTTAGAAATCCAGGGGTAGACAATGCCAGCTCCCTCTCCCTGCCCCATTCCACATCCCATGTGCCACGTCCACCTGGCAAGCCCAGGAGCAGTGGGCTAAAGATAGGTTTTCTTCGATCTATCAAAGCAGAGCAGGGCTTCCTGTGCCCCGTGCCTTATTAGCACATTGGTGGCAGTGCTTCCTGTCACTGACTCGCTGTTTCCATTCTGCCAGAGCGGTTTGCTGTTTTCGCTTTGCTGTGGGGGCTGGAGAAAGATTAGTTTCTCACAGAGTCTCTCCTGAGCCTGCTGGCAGTTTGTCCCTCTGTGCCCCTCGTGTTTGCAGCAGAAGATGAGAGACTGTCCCTGAGCCGCCTTGAGTCAGGAGCCTGGCATCTGATGAGTGCTTACCTCTAGCAGCAGACCCATGTCGCCACCCCAGGTAGAACCAAACCCGTTGTTTTTGTGTGTCCGGTAAACCCAGCCTGACATTTCAGGGGCAAACTCAGGGTAGGGAGTCTGTTAGGGGAAAGAAAGTTCTAGAACCAAAGGAGAAAGATGCTTTTGAAAGGAAGAAATGAAAACCAAAGACTGTGTGTGTGTGTGTGTGTGTGTGTGTGTGTGTGTGACTTTGGTGAGTAAAGATTCTAGGAAGAAGAAATTTTGAAAATAAAAGGGTACATTAAGGAGTATTTGCAGACATGCTGATTAGGAGGACTTCCATCATTCTTGTGTAAGACACCAGAAAAAATTAAAAATAAAGGTGATTATATGGAACCCTTTCTCCCAGGAGCCAGCAGCATAGGAAGAGTGGCAGATGTGTTGCCTGGCCAGTTATGACTGAGACCAGAAGTAGAGGCTGAAGCCAGAGAGGACTACAGGGCTCCCGAAGGATGGACATCACCCCAACTGCTTGGGACAGTGCAAGGAGGACATCGGACACCAGCACTCTGCAGGGGACTCCCAGCAGCCTGGAAGAGTGAGTGACCCAGGTGTGAGGTCCTCTCTCCCGAGTGGACACCAGGCCCTGCCCAAGCTGGAGTTTCTGTCCAGCAGAGATGCCTCACAGCCAGCCGCAGGGCCCTGCAGAAGGAGTGGCTTCCGGGAGGGAGAATGGCCAGCCGGGTTTCTCTCCTCTCAGAGCCTTGATTTCTGTCCCCAGATTTCCTATCTCATGTCCCAAGGTGATAGAAACAAAAGGCCCCATTTCTCAGTGTGTTTTTAGATCCTAAAATCTTGCCACACATGGAAAATGTAATCATAGATATAGTAAAGGTGTGTCTTTAGAACGTAAAATCTCACCAAATCAATTGCAGATGTAAACTCAGTGCTAATGGTTTCAAATCTCATACAAACATAAGTAAGAGATCCAACAGCAGCTGAAATCTTAGGGACATTAGTAAGTATATATCCCAGGACCATGTTAAAAAAAAAACCAACTATAATAAGTTTTGATATTACAGCCATTTGGGGAACTAAATGTTATTACCAGAGCAAGCATATGCTACTTGCAGGTAAACATGGGCACTGATGAGGAAGGAAATCACAAAAGGTATCGGAAATCTGAGGTACCCACTAAAAACTATAATTTTGAAATTTTACTTTTATTTTCCAGTTGATAAAAATTGTGTATATATATTGTGTACAATGTGCTTTGAAATATGTCTGTATTGTGGAATTGCTCACTCCGCCTGATTCACCCACTTTCTCACTGTGTGTGTGATGTATATCTGTGTGATAACACTTGAAATATACATAAACAGAGGACCCTATCTTGTATTCAACAAAACCATGCTGTCTAACAACGCTTTTGAATTTGTTTATCTAACTGAAATTTTGTGTCTTTTGATAAGAATCTCTGCACACCTCCCCCACATGCCCATGGTAACCACCACTTTGCTCTCTACTTACGTGAATTCACCTTTTTTGAGGGGCATATGGGGAATCCAACTGTGGACCTTGTGCTTGCCAGGTGGGCACTGTACTGCTACACTATTTCCCTAGCTTGCTTATTTATTTTTGTGTTTATTTTGCGGAACCTGGGATTGAACTCAGGGCTTTGCGCTTGCCAGGGAAGCGCTTATTCCACTGAGCCATCTCCCTGGCCCCCCCTAGCTTTTTGTTTGTTTGTTTTTTGTTTTTTTTGAGACAGAGTTTTGCTGTGCCATTCAGGCTGGTTTTTGTTTTGTTTTCTTTTGTTTTGTTTTTCAGGCTGGTTTTAAACTCACTTTATAGCCCAGGCTGGCCTGGAATTCACAGTGATCTTCGTGCCTCCACCCCTCCCAAGTGCTGGGACTACAGGTGCATGCCACCATGCCTAGCTCAACTTTTTTAGAATATAGATAGATAGATAGATAGATAGATAGATAGATAGATAGATGATAGTCTTTCTGTGCCTGGCTGACTTCACCTAGCACAATGTCCCTGAGGTCCACTTATGCATTCACAAGTGACAATGGTATCTGTTGTGTTTGTATACCACACTCTGTCCATTCATTGTCTGACACTGTTGTCAATGGGCATATGGGCCTCTTGCAAAAGGCCTGGGAGGGCAGGTAGACTGACCTCTTTTACTTTGGATATATACCCAGTAGTGAGACTCATGGCTCTAATGCTGCCTCTGTTTTAAATTTTTTTAGGAATTTCTATACTGTTTGCCATAGTGACTCTAGTGCCCTCAAAATGATTTCATGATCATTCTTTTATTAGTTAGTAGTAGTAGCAGCAGCAGTACTAGTAGCAGTAGTGGTGGTAGTAATAGTATTTTATCGTTCCTTTATTTAATGACTATTCATCAGGTTCCTACTAAGTACTAGGGACTGTTTAAGGCACTAAGTAAACAACATAGACAAGCCCAGGAGATCCTGAAATTTATAGTCAAAGAAGGTGTCAGATGACAAACAAAACAATGAATGCATAGTATACTATCAATCAGTGACAGTGCTTTGAAGAAAAGAGATAGAGTAGCATGGAGGGAGCTGTGAACACCAGACTGTGGCCAGGGCAATCCTATCTGCAGAGAAGACAACTCGGAGGAGACCCAAAGAGAATGAGGGAATGAGCCATGTGACAGCTGCCTGAAGAGAGGTCCAGGGAGGCAGGATGGATCTGAGAAGAACTGTGCTTTGGCAGGGTGTGGGACAGCAAGGAGCGCTGGCACTCATGTCCAAGAGAAAGTCACAGGGAAGGGGTCAGGAGCGAGGCTGTGGTCGGGTCCTGCGGTGCCATGAAATCTCTGTGGGTGCGGACCACAGAAAGTCGGTGTGCTGGGAAGCCACGGAGGTTATAAGCAGAGCGGAGGCATGATTCAACTGGCCACTTTCAGCTTGCACTGGCTCCCATCTGAAGATGGTGTGTCAGGAGAGTAAAGGCCCTGAGAGCCAGTAGGACGTCACTGCAGTGTCCTTGGGGGACATGTGCTGGCAGTGGTGGGGGAACAGAGGGGACTGGGGTGGGGCAGATGCCCATCCCAGAATAAAGCAGATAGAACATGCTGAGGCATGAAAGAGAGCGGCCAGGAGTGACATGGAGATTTTGGACTGTGCCCCTGGCTAACAGGACACATGAGAGGAAAGGGGGTGTACAGAGGAGAACTGAAGTTTTATTTTGGTTTGAGCTGTCTATTAGGCAGGCTGGTGGAAATGTCCAGTAGCAAGCTGAGTAAATAAACCTACAGCACAGGAGGACAAAAAGCTTTCCTGGTAGGTGTCTTGGTTTCTATGATTGAAGGTAGCAGAGCAGCTGCTGGTTCCTCCCTGATCTTCCCTTAGCTGCTTCCTGCTGGAGTAGGGCTAGCCCCTTGGGGTAATGATCAGCTGGATGCCGTTCAACACCCAAGTCCAACCCTGCTAAGGAACTGCAAGCTAGCACAGAACTCACACTGGTTAAATTCCACATAACAGTTGGGTGTTGCTAGGAAACCAGCTACACAAGTTGGGGGTTACTCAAGTTCATACAAGCTGGCCTTTGTCACCAGTCCACTCCCTGTAAATTGGGTAATCCTCTCCTCCAAGCAAGCCCAAAGGCCAGACGCCTAAGGCTGGGAGCAGGGAGTTAGGGGAAGCAGAGCAGATGGGCTTGACTTTGCCAGTTTCGAGAATGGCATGGGAATGAGGAAAGAGCTTGACCCTGGGACCCTACCAGACCTAGACTCACTTTCCTCTCTTTCTCTCTCACCTTTCCTCTGTGCCTCTGACCTGACCATTATGGACATGTTACCTGTTCTTTCTGAATCTAAATCTTGGGTTCCTTGACCACAAAGTGAGGTAGGATTGTTGTGAAGGTTAAATAGTACATGCAAACTGTTAGCAGCTGGTATGCATTTGAAAGGGATGGTTCCCTCCTCTGCATTCAACCTCTCTCTGTGTGTGCTTGCTGTTTAGAGAGGACCCTCTCTTCCACCGCATCTGCCCACATTTGGCTCTTCTTCCCGATGCTTGGCTCCACACCCTGAAGGAAACATCTCCCCCAACCTGCATCCCTACCATCTACGACACCTGGAACAATGGAACTTGGTTTTTCTCCTAGGAATAAAGACCAGAGCAGCAGCATCTTCTCTGGGTTTGCAGGACTCCTCGCCTTCCTCCTGCTTGTCACAGCTTCCTGCATCCTGTGGAACTGGAGCAAGAGGAAGAAGTGTGAGTCCCTTGTTTGCTACAGGTTAAAACACACCAGCATTGATCTTCTAGCCTGGCCTTTAAGCTGGATTTGTTTTACAGCAATAAATTTTTCTTTTTTTTTCTGGCATGGGGACTACAGGGCCTTCTCATTGAGCTACAATCCCCAGCCATTTTATTTTTTATTTTGAGGATGGGTCTCTGTGTCACTAAGTTGCCCAGCCTGGCCTCAGAGTTGTGATTCTCCTGCTCCAGGCTCCAATGGTGCTGGGATGATGGGGGCGATCACCAGTAATGAGTTAGTACACTGGGGGTGGGGGTAGGATTCTCCTTTGCAGGTCTTGGGCTGTGGCTCTGAGGCTCCTGGGAAAAACACTACCCTGGTGCCCCTTTGCTCAGTTCACTCTGCTTCTGTCTGTTTAGTCTCCTATTCCTTCTAGCTCACATAGACATTCTTCTAGCTCAAGTCTAAAAATCCACTGTTATATACTGGTGATGGGGGGAATATTTCCAGGAGCCATCTTGGCCCCACACGTCCCAACAGTCTGTGCAGCTGACCCCTCCATGACCCCCATCTCTCCCACTGCCTTGCAGTGCAAGTTCCTTACCTCCGAGTGACCGGCCTGCCCTCACTGACCCTGTCTCAGCCCAGACAACGAGCCAAAAATATTTATGACCTCTTGCCTCGCCGACAAGAAGAGCTAGGTATGTTTCTCCTAATCTGTGGAGCTCGATATAGTGAACTTCTACTCTCAGAATGCATCTCTTTCCACTTGGGAATAATTCTTGCTAAGCTTCCAGACTGTTCTGCTGCAAGCACTGGGATTGGCATGGACAGGCTATAGGCCGCACCTCCAGTGGGGGCTGAGCCCTCTCAGAGGCAGCAGAGAAGCCCCTGGGCTTGTGGCTTTGGTTTTCTTGGTGCTGAGGCAGCAGAGAAAAGCAGCGTGTGCCCAGGCATTGGAAGTCACCTGTGAGGAGATCCTGGTGCCAGCATTCCCAGAACAGGATGGGGGGGGACCTCAAAGGAGGCACCCACGGCTCAGGGCACATCTTCCCAGCAGCTCTGACCCTCTCATTACAGAACACTGAGGCCCAAGCTGGACATGCCAGGCACTGCACATGTCCCACTCATATGGGGATGATGGGCAAAAAGGCCTGAGAAGATTGCCTATCTTGAGGATTCATCTCTGTTGTTTCAGGGAGACATCAGTCAAGAAGTATCCGTATTTTCAGCACCGAGAGCCTCATCTCCAGAATCTCTGACAGCCCTGAGCATATGGTAAGGGTCAAGAGAAGGTCTGGGATGTAGACCAGGGCTAGTGCACTTCCCTAGCACGTGCAAGGCCCGGGGTACCATCTCCAGCAGCACAAAAAAAAACAAAACAAAAAAAAAGTTAAGTGAAAAGACAAGCCCCTTGACCCAACAACCAGTGTTTGCCAGGAGAGCTGAAGAAATGAGGCCTAGGTCTCTGATATGATTTCACCATAGACAGCACTTCCTCTGGCACTTGCCCTGTAGTCCTATTAATAAGCTGGGAAGATTAATCTCATGATCTGCCTACTGCACAAAGAGAAAAATGAAGAAAGACAGGAGCCAGGGCTCACGGTTTTAAGGACAGTATGTGTGGCTGGATGTGGTGGTGCACACCTGTTAATCCCAACACTCTGCAGATTGAGACCAGAGGATCACAAATTTTAGCCCAATGAGGGCAACTTGGTGATTGGCAAGACTCTGCCTCAAAAAAAAAAAAAAAAAAAAAAAAAAATTAAAAGGTTGGTTATGTAGCTCACTGTGAGGGCCATGGGTTCATTGTCCAGTACGGGACCCTAACCTCCCCAAATAAATCACATGTATTCAAGTACCTGGCATTAGAACTGAAATTGATTATTTTAACAAAGACATTTTAATGTGGTTATCCAAATAATGCTGTTCCTTCAAAGTAGTCACTTCAGGAGGGTACAAAACTATTCCACCAATGCTTCTGATACTTAAAACCCCACTGTAGGAGTTCCAGGACCTATGTCAAGGTTGCTTCCATTATCCTCAATCGTAGAAATCTCCATGAGTCATTCAACACTGGAGTGGCTGCAGAAAGTGATCAAATGAAGATAGATGTCCTGCCTCATTTTGAGTAAATTATAATGTAGAGAAACAGGTGGCTCGGGCTGGGCATGTGGCTCGGGGTAGAGGGCTTGGCCTGTGTGCACAAGGCCCTGGGTTTGATCTCCAGCACCACTACCAGAGAGAGACAGAGACAGAGACAGAGACAGAGAGAGAGACTCATTCTTTTCTTGGGAAGCCACCCGTGCTCACTTGAGCAGCAGCACATGTACTAAAGAAGGAAACCCACTCCTCTCCCTTCTTAAGGGTTCCCACTTTGAACACTGTTGCACTGGGGATGAAGATTCTAGCACGTGAATTTTGGAAGATACATACTAGGGGTAGCCATGAAGTTACAAGAGGAGCACGGCAAGCACTGACCGTAATTCTGTATGCCTCATGATTTGACTCTGAAGGCATCTCCCAAGAAGGAGTCCAACCATAGGTGCAGAGACATCGGCGACAGCAGACAGACTACTTTGGAGATCAGGGCACTGACTTTCATGGATACAGCTTCTCTGTTTAAAACCCAGTTCCTGGGACTCTGTGGTCTTCCTTGGGTAAATGCAGTGCTGCACTCAGCTTCTTATTACCAAAGATGCAGGCTCAGTTACTACACTACTGCCTTGTGTTACTGTCTTTTAGCTTTCTTTTTTTTTTGTGGTACCAGGGATTGAACTTAGGACCTTGCGCTTCCCAGGCAAGCACTTATTCTACTGAGCTATCTCCCCAGCCCTGTGTCACTGTCTTTGCTGCCTCCTCCTTCTCCCACATGTTGGGCTCTGCTCCCACCTGTCACACTTTCTGAGAAGTAAGTCTTGCTTTGTTTCATCTTGTCTTTTTGAGACAGTGTCTCACTATGCAGGTTTTAAAATTTTCTTAAAAATCTTAGGGCCAGCCAAATAGCTCAGCAGACTAAAGCTCCTGCTTAGATAGATGAAGGGACTGGGGTTCGATCCCCACTATGCCGAGCTGGCCCCGACTCTGGGGTTCACTGAGAGTGTGATTGAGACTGGGCATACTGGCGCATACCTGTAATCCCAGTGCTTCGGAGACTGAAAACAGGAGGATCACTATGAGTCCAATCTGTGTAGTGAGACCCTGTAGTCCCTGTACTAAAATACATTTTTAAAACATTTATTTATTTATTTATTTATTTATTTATATGTTATTTGTTTGGTACAGGGTCTCGCTATGCAGTTCAGACTCATAGTGATCCTACTGTCTCAGCCTCCAGTGCTGGGATTACAGGAATGCTCCACCACACCTGGTTTTGGGGCTGGCACAACATGCAATACTGGGAATCGAATCTGGGTCTTTGTGCTTGCCAGGCAGGCCCTTAGACCACCCAGATATCTCACCAACCTGGCTTTGCAGTTTAGGCTGGCCTTCAATTGACTTTGTAGTCCTGGCTGGCCTCAAACTCACAGCAATCCTCCTGCCTCAGCCTCCCAAAGTGCTGGGAATACAGGCATGTGCCACCATGCTGGGCCTGGTAGCAAGTGTGAGTGACTGAGAAGGGGCGGAGAAGAGGACACTCTATTGCCAGAGCCAGTTCCAAGACTCAAGTGGTCCCTTGACAGGGGTGGGATGGATTTAGAGCTTAAGCCAAAGACTTTCTTAAGCCCACTAGATGTTTGGTTTGGACTCTGTAGCATTTGAAGAACATTTTGAATCAGTTGCCAATATTCAAAAGTTGAACACATTTCACCTTGAAAGACCAGGTGTCCAGATTTTCTTAAAAATTCACAGGTTTAGAAACAACAGGCCATCATTCTTAAATGACAAGAATCAGCTGCATCCGTTTAGTGGTTGTCCCTCTTGTGATGGCAAGTATTCTCAGTGTTTGGTTGTGGTTGTGTTGTTTTCCCTCATACTCAGAATCTAACCTCAGCCCTTTTCTATTCTATTTTGAGACAGGGTTTCACTAAATCCCCCAGGTTGTCCTCAAACTTGCAATCCTTTTGCTTCAGCTACCTGAGTAGCTGGGGCTACAGGTGTACACCACCACACTCGGCCAGTTTGTAGTGCTTTCTAAGTGCCAGGAGCATATTTTATACCTTGTAATCCAGTCACCCCTCATGCAAACCTTATGAAGTAGATAGTATGATCACTTTATAAACTAAGAAATGAAGGCACAGAGGGATTTGGAGTGGAGCTCAGAGTCACTTGACACAGTGCGGCAAGGCTGCGAATCCCAGCCTGGTCTGCACCACGGCCAGTGCCTCAGCCACTCTGCTGTATGCCCTGCAGGGTCCTCCGGGAAGATGGCTTCTCTGCAGTGTGTGAGGCTTCCCCCACTGCCCACTTAACCCCATGCAGTGCCCCCAAACCAGCTGCAATTCTTCATCATATTTGCATAGCTGCTTTCACTAAACCCAGTCCACTTCCCTCATACTTACCGGCATCCAGAACCCTGAAGTTTGAGACCACAAAGATTTTCTTCCGGGGGAAAGACTGAGGGCAGGAGAGCAGGGTGGTGCTCTGTGAGAGGCTTTGGCTGCATCTGTGTTCCAATCCTGTCATGTTCTCTTCTTCCTCACAGCCCGCTCATGCAGATAATACCCTCCGGAGACACCGAGTGCACATTCACGCTGTGAGCTATGCAGTGGGTATCTATGACAATGCCACTGTGCCCCAGGTGCATGGAAACCTTGCTCCTTCTGTGCACTATATCAATGTCACAGCTTCCAGGGATGGCTCAAGCACTTCTTCAGAGGATTCAAATGATTATGTCAATGTCCCCACAGCAGAAGAGACCACCAAGATGTTAACTTCTACCAACAGCCAATCTGAAAATGTCTTTGTCCTGCCATGTGTCCAAGAGCTGGAGTTTAATGAGGAAGGACTGGAGAGCTGTGGGGACACCAATGCTGGCACCAGCTTAAGGGTTCCAGGAACTGAGGGCAGTGACTCACTCAGTGATGGTGACAGTTCTTCTCAGACTTCACATGACTATGTCAACATGATAGGTTTGGATCTTGGGGACACCTCTGAGAGGAAGTCCGGGATGGATTTTCAGTATGGCAGAGATTATGTAAATATCCCAGCAGCAGATCCCAATGGAAGCCAGCAGCAGGCTGAGGAAGAAGAGATGTCTTCAAACACAGACTGTGGAGAGGGCAGGACAGATGGTCCCGGGGCCCACCTCCAGCCTGGCACAAGGCTGTCTTCAGGGTATTGTGTGGCTTTTCAGCCATCCATTCAGAGTGGGAACAGTCAAATGACATGTGCAGAAGAGACATCAGATGAAGACTCAGATGACTACGAGAATGTGCTGGTTGCTGCGGTAGAAGGGAGGAACCAGGAGCAGGGGCCTGACACTCAGCTGCTTCCTGATCAGTGAGCACCAAGGTGCCCGGCTGGAATGCCTCATGAGCTGTCCACACTGCTGGTCCTTAGCCACTGCAGTCCAGAGGAGATGTCCCAGTACCATAGTTCAGTGGATTCAGTTTTGTCAAGCTAACTAGCAGCTGAGAGGAAGAGGGGTGATACCAGACTGAATAAAAGAAAAGGCTTGGGGAAGGAATTCCAAAGGTGGGCTGTCTCTCATACTGACCTCAGGTTTGCTGAAACTGCTGGATTGGACTATTGGAAAATAAAAAAAAGATTGTACTTAGCACACAGTGGAAGTATAGACTAAATTACCTCTACTAATGGATGTAGCTCCAAAGCATTAGTGTAGATTATTTTGTGATCCAGGAAAAAAATCCAAAAAGAAGGAAGCAGTAGGGGTGGGGCAGGCAATTTCCATTTTACAAAAGGTGTGGAGTGCACATGTCTCCTACCTCTCCATACTAAGAGGACTTGGAAGCTCGTGGTTTCTAAATACTATTCACTAGTCAAAGCAGGTAGAGCTCCTTAGGTTTTAGGGGCTGAGCTATCAAAAATATGGGATGAGCTTGTAGAAAAGGAGAAAGAGAGAGAGAGAGAGAGAGAGAGAGAGAGAGAGAGACAGACAGACACACACACACACACACACACACACACACACACACACACAGAGCTCCCAAAGACAAAGCTAGAAGATTAAATAAATAGATAAATAGATGAGTTCCAAATTATATATATAGAATGAGGGGAAAACAAAATCACCATGAAGGTACCACAGAACAAATGCTACAACCAAATCCATTTAGGAACACTAAAATTAGGAAAACTTTAAGATGCAGCAAAAAGTTGCATAGCTTCAAAGAATCTCCTTGGAAATACTTATCCATTCCTATGGTGATTTTAACACATATCCACAAAGTACAAATACTTCCCTTGGAGTTTGATTATCCCCTGTTCACAGTGAGCTAAATTTAGTGACACTTTCTTTTTTAAATTATTATTTTTAATGTATTTAATGCAGGGTCTACACAGTCTCATTGCACAGATTGGACTCATAGTGATCCTCCTGTTCTCAGCCTCCCAAGTGCTGGGATTACAGGCATGTACCACCATGCCCAGTGTCAGTTGCTGTCTCAGCACGCCCTGGAGCAGGGCCAGCATGTCACATTAGGATCAAACCCCAGTCCAGTGCTTGCCTAAGTGTGGGAAGCCATTAACTGGTATCCATTTTATAATAGTGTCAGCCATTTTCTTAAGTTTCTATTCCCCTGCTGAGTTAAGTTTCTGGTCCTTGCCGCCTTGCCCATTTCCCGATATGCCCCAGGGGTGGGACCTTCCTCTGTTGCCTAGATACCTGCTGACCCCAAAAGCCGAGACTTCCTCATTCCTACACTCCCTATATATACCCAGCACCTCCCCTGAATAAACGAGACTTGATCATAATCCTGTCTTGTCTCCATTCTTTGTGTCTCCTGTCCCTTCTCATCCCCACTCCCCCTCTAGGGTCCTCGTTGACTAACCTGCGGGTCGGGACACCTAAGCATGCACTTTAGTCCACTGAGATATCTGGCTAGCCCTTCTTTCTTTTTTAAATGTATTTGGTTGTTTCAGGGTCTCACTATGTAGCTCAGATTTGTGGTGATCCTTCTGCTTTCGGCCTCCTCAGCACTGAGATGATTACAGGCATGTGCCACTACACCCTGACTCTGTGGCTGGCTCAGCCTGCCCTGAGGGCAGGGCTGGTGAGGCATGTGGTGCCTGGAATTGAACTGTAGTCCCTGCACTTGCCTAAGCAGATGTTTTAGTCTGCTGAGCTATCTCGCTGGCCTTTAGTGACACTTTCTTATTATTATTTTTTTTATAATTTTATTTATTTGTGTGTGTGTGTGTGTGTGTGTGTGGCCAGCTCAGCCCGCCAGGGGGTGGGGCTGGCTGGCATGTGGTGCTGGGGGATTGAACCGTGGTCCCTGTGCTTTAGCTAAGCTTGTTCTAAGTAGGTGCTTTAGACCACTGAGCCATCTCACCAGCCCCTGAGCCATCTCACCAGCCCCTAGTGACACTTTCTAATGGATAGAATACAGAAAAAGGAAGAGTGCGCTTTACAGGGAGAAATTTGGCAGACCCACCTTAACCAAGGGACTAAGTTCAACTCATTAGTAACAAGTCAAGCTGTTATCATATGTCCCCTGGTAGGATGAAGAATAGGACCCCAAAATCTGTAACTCCAGTTTTATCATTAGAAAAATCCAAACTATATAACATGGCACAAAAACATGACCAGAGCTATTCAAGGTGTCAAGGTCAGGAAACAGATGAGAAGATTGAGCAACAGTCAAAGATTGGAGGAGACAAAGGAGTCTGAATGACTGAATGCATTCTGATGGCTCGGGGTGTGTCCTGGAACAGAAGCAACAGAAAGGGACTTTATTGGGAAGAATAGCAAATCAAAGATGTCCATACATTAGTAGTTCTTAGGAGTGTTAATTCCTTCATTTTTATAATTGTTCCATGTTTGTGTAAGATGTGAGCAGAGGGGAAGGTTGGGTGAAGAATGCACAGTGACTCTCGCCTATTCTTGTAACTTCCATAAATCTAAGTTATTTCAGGATGAAACCCATGGACAAAGGTGGAAATGAAAGGGCCAGCCAAATAGCTCAGTGGATTAAAATGCCTGCAAGCAGGTGCAGGGGCCAGGGGTTCAATCCCTGGGCCTGCCATGCTGGCCCCGCCCCTGGGGCGTGCTGAGCTGGCAGTTGAGAAGAGACTGGGCATGATGGTTCGCGCCTGTAATTCCAGCTCTTGGGAGGCTGTACACAGGCAGATCACTACAGGTCTGATACAGTAGTGAGACCCTCAACACCCTGTAGACCTTTCCCTAAAATAAAAAAATAAGGTGGAGGTGAAGATATCTGGGTTCATTCCACTTAAATGAAGGGGCACTATTCCGTATCTTTGTTCCTTCCACAAATGGATTCAACATAAATTACACATTGTTCCAAGTGTAGTTTGTTCTCTGCTTTTTACCCTATATGCCCAACCTCCCTGTTGATCTTCAGGCACACTGCCTGCGGGAACATACACTGAAGTGCTTTGTATTCATCCTGCCTCCCAGCACGAGAGTCAAAATAAAGACAGATTATTGACAACAGGTGATTAATATAGTGGCTCAGTTCTCTCATCTCTTTTTTATTTTTTTTGGCAGCACTACATATTGAACTCAGGGTCTCTGCACCGAGCCACATTTCCAGCCCTTCTTTAGTTTTGGTTTTGAAATGGGGTCTCCCCAAGTTGGCCAAATAGGGCTCTAACCTTAGCTTCTGCCTCAGCCTTGCAGAATGCTAGGACTGCAGGTATGTGCTTCCTCGGGCCACTCCATGCTCTCGCTGTGCCATGAAATGCTGAGTGAGGTATGCCTCACACTTCAAGTCAGAATGCAGCAACCAGCAGACAGTGATTAACCAGCCCTTCAGGCCTCACTTCCCCAGCTCCACTTCAGAAGGCTGAGAGGTGGCCGAGCCTGGTCACCATGAAAAGGGTCTCCTCCATCACTCTTTCCATCCCTGGACATGGTAACCATCTCCCCCTGCCCAAGAAGAGGGCAAGGAAGAGAGTACTGCCAGGCTAAGAGAGATGGCTGTGAAGCTGTTGCTTCCACCCCACGAAATGTGACAAGTGGAGTTAGCATATGTAAGCTTGGAAGCAACCCTGGGAAGCAACCTCTCATGGCTATGTCAACATGGTGCCACAGCCAGAGATCCCAGATGACAGTGACCAAGTGAGGTGGCTTTGCAAGTCCCTGAGTGGGACAACAGCAGATCGTAGCAGGAATCTGATGTCTCTATTTTTTTTTAATTTTTATTTTATTTTATTTATGTGTGTGTGTGTGTATGTGTGTGGCCAGCTCAGCCCACCAGGGGGCGGGGCTGGCTGGCATGTGGGGCTGGGGGATTGAACTGTGGTCCCTGGGCTTTGCTAAGCTTGTTCTAAGTAGGTGCTTTAGACCACTGAGCCATCTCACCAGCCCCGATGTCTCTATTATGGGTACATGTTTTTAGGGGAATCAAATTTAGCCTCTGTGATCATAAAAAAGCAAATACTGAAGGGCCAGCAAGATAGCTTAGGCAAGCACAGGGACTAGGGTTCGATCCTTGGCTCCAGTTTGATCCCCGCCCCTGAGCACAGAGCTGGTGGTGCATACCTGTAATCCCAGAGCTGGGGAGGCTGAAAACAGGAAGATTCTTATGAGTCGGAGCTGCGCAGTGAGACCCTGTACCAAATACATTTTTTTAAAAAAATGAAGCCAGGGGGCCTGCCCCTTAGCTCAGTTCTTTAAGTGGCTGCTTTAACAAAGCAGTCAGGCTCAGGTTGCTGTGGTTTGATCCCCACAACTCAAGCCAGCCAAACCTGCTCTGAAGGTATTCGGAGAAAAAAAAAAAAAAAAATCCCAGCTACTCCAGAAGCTCAATGTCAATAGGGGCATGTTGGTGACATGCTGTGTCAAAATAAAAAGGACTGGAGATGTACTTCAGTGGTGCAGTACCCCTAGGTTCAACCCCCAACACTGCAAATAATAATAATAATAATAATAATAATAATAATAATAATAACAGTAATAATAATAAGTAAAAAATAAATAAATAAATGTTTTGTTTTTGGTGGAAGGCTGAGGTAGGAGCCTGAAGCAAGAGGACAGCTGTGAGGCAGGAGGACACCCTGAGCTACAGAGGGCATTTAAGCCCAGTGTGTCTCAAACAAATAAACAAATAAAAACATTGGGTTTTGTCCTCCATTCCAGTACTAGTGGCAACCTGATATTTTCAAGAGGCTGAAGTTGGGGTACATCTGAGCAACATAATGGGGTCCACACTCACTTCAGAATTGAATGAAACTGTAGGTCATCCAAGTAGTGTTGGGCAAGTTGGAGAACACCAACATTTTTGGTGTCAAAAGAGTTGAGTAAAACTAGACCACGACCCCACAAGTGGCTGACATCATAGGGTGCACACACAATACCAAGCAGTTTGGTTCTGGTAGGCAGGTTCCGGTGGGCAGCCACGAGTGTACAGAGAGGACAAGAAGTGCTGGTCACAGGAGCACTTGCTCTCAGACATGAGAAGAAAGGGAATATAGGTCAAAACATTAATAGCCAAGAGGCAGTGAACAAACACAGGCTGTAAATTAGATCTTAACACTAGGTATGGTGACATATACCTATCATCCTGGATACTAGTAAGGCTGAAGCTGGAGGATTACAAGTTCTAGCTTAGCCTGGGAA